TGGTGGGTCTACGGACCTAGAGGGGTGGGGCATTTTCGTGAAAAAACTGCAAAAAAACGTGATTTTTGACTTGGAAAAAAAATATTTTTTTTCGTCTTTACTAAATGATTGTAATATCGTCAGAAACGGGTAGATCATCCAATTCCACACCGAATCGTTTTTTTGCGATGAAAAAACGAAGCATTTTTCGTGGAGATATCGGCGCTTCTAAGAATCGGCCGCTAGCTCGCTTACGAAAGGTCATAGGTCAAACTCTCAAGAGACAAAAAGATGCGAAATTCACTCAGCTTTCCAACGCCACCAAGAAATCCAAAATCGGTTCCGCCGTTTAGCCGCAATCGCCGATTTAGTGGAAAAATTTCGATTCCCGGGGTCACCGGGGTCAAACCCAGACCCAGTTATATCCTCAAAAGTTGCGTTTTAGGCCCAATAACCCACCATAAAAATTTCAGCGAAATCGGTCCAGCCGTTCAGAAGTTATGATTTTCCGTGGTTTCCGACCACTGTGCGTCGGATGCTTCCGATGTAAATTCAATGAGCAACATCCAATGACCTCGTCTTCGCGGATGTCCACAGGGGCTTGCAGCGCTGGGATTTTCGCGGGGAGGAGGTGGGGGGGGGGGGAAATAGACCCTGAGAGCGACCATTCGAAAACCGAGGCGGTTTGGAAAGAGAATTTTTCGTAATTAAGTAAGAGCTCGGTGTAATTACGAGTCCGCAACTCGCCCGTGCGCGGCGGGAACAGGCCACCTAATTTCGGAGCGAGTCGGTGAACTTGGAATCTTTTGAATAAACTTTCTACTCTGTGTTGAGCTTCCGTGGAGTCATTCCAGAACTCTCAACCTCGGATGGAACCGAGACTTTCTCATCTCTTAGGGAGCCCCCGGGGTAAGCTCAGAGCCATTAGACGCCACAGGGAACCCTTGGCCCCGCGCATACGTCGAAAATTCCAACCATTGCACGCGGTGCTGCTGTTTCTGGCTTTCAGGATCTACTTAGTATCAGTGATGAATTTCATGCGTCCCGGAGCATTTCCTAATCTGGCCATAGGATTTCGAGTTTTCCGAAAGCTCAGTACAAATTGGTCCGAACTCCTCCGTCGAATCGGCGGGAAGTTCTGGATGCCATCCTGTCAAATGAAGTTATGGTTCAGTCACACGCTCTCCCTCGTAGGACGGCCTCTGTGACATCTGTCACTTTGTAATGTCCTCAATGCAACCGAGTGGTCCGAATACACAGATTAGAATCCGAGGGTGGACTCGCTGTCTTGAGCATCCCTCGCGGACAGTCCGTCAAATGACTCGCGGGCTCTTGAAGGATCGAGTCAATGGGGAATCCTTAAATGTCTCGATATTTTTTAAGGTCTCGCCGGTGGCGCAGCTGTAGAGGATAGCAGAATCATTCCGGTAAATTGTATGAGGATCTGATCTCGTCAGCCATAGCGGCTGACCCAGGCAATGCGTTGGTCTTCGGGCGGAACGGATCTGTTGCCATACGGAGCCGCTGATGCGGCCAGAGAACATCGTCGACTTTTGCCGCTCTTTCTGCCATTCAAATTAGGCCGTCGCTGAGCAGGCTACAACTGTTGAATTGTTTCTGTTCTCCACGCATTCCGGTAACGGGTACAACGTTGCGATGATTCTTCTGGTAGAAGTGGTAGAAAAGATAACGGCAATGTCCATCGCAATCTTCGAGAAACAGAATGCTTCCCAGCATGTAGAATGCTGCCGGACTCGATCCAACGTTTACTGTCGCGTTACTTCCCCCCTCCCCTCTGGTGAGAGTCTTCAGAGGCTTTTCCCACGGGGTCTTGGTCGAGAGGTTTGACCAGCCGAGAAATCGAATCCGTCAGCCTCTCGGGGGGACTTCGACTTGCGGAGGCAGAAGCACCCTCGAAGCTGCCCGCAGCAAAATTCGTGTTACTTACCACTGGCACGAAAAGACGTCGTTCCACATCGCTGACGACAACGTGGTACTTGTCAATCTGTATTTGATGTGCAAATCATTCCAACCTTACAATGTTATCCGCTTGAATAAGATCAAGACGAGGAGAGAAGATTCTCTAGCACGGTAGGGAATTCATTGGTCTCGAGAGACTTCGACTGACCATCAATGCCATCATACCAAACTCCCCCGTTGTCCTCCGCGTGGAATGTGTGTCGAAGAGCTCGAGCAGGGCTCCATTTGATGAGATTCCCGCGGAGCACTCCTTTTCTTCTGATCTCCTCGCAGCACACTCTCGCGAGCTAAGGAGAGAAAGTTCCAGGATTTAAGGATATTTCCACGATAAGTCAGGACGATTGTGCCACGGAAACCTCCTCGCAATGATTCCGTGAACCATGCGGGACATCTGAATACGCCTGGATTTTCAATTTCATGAGGAGTCCTAACTCATAAACTCATGAGTAAAAAAACTCCGCGGCGGACCGCTCCATGTGCCTTCTCCGATATCCGTCGGCGGCGTAGAGCGGTCGACTTCATATCGCATAGAAACACTCGAGCATTGGAAAATCCATCTTAGAAGCAGATTCCAACTGCGGAGGGACACGACTGTCATAGGAAATGGAACCCGACTCTGCGGCCCGGCGTCTTCGACGAAATCGAATCCCGACATCAAAATATTCAATATTCCTCCTTCCGTGCGGGTCCCTGTGTGCTAGCTGTGGCGGCAGACTCAGAGTTCCGATGTAAACAAGTAACACCCTGAGAGGAGGGGGCTCGGCAAAGATTTGTTTGGGACTTTGAATTCGGCCTCTTCCGCTGTTGCGCTGCCACGAATAAACGAAGTATGGAAATGCCAAACGCTTTCTTTTGGTCGAGCAGATCCCCATCGATTCGGCTCTTCTTGTGGCGTGGTGAACATTCTTCGGAGGATATGGCGCCTGTTCTCGCTCAGGAGAATGATACACTAGGATTCTTAGAAGTAATGCCACGCCTGAAACCAACCAACCGACCGGAGCTCTCGCTCTCGATAAGGAACGTATCCGTGAATCTACCCGATCAATCCGAGAAACCTCAGCCGAGGCTCGCGGAGCTTGATTTCGTCTCGAGTTTCTAGGAGCCTGTGTTATTCGGGAACGCGCTCCGCTTACTCCCAAGCGCATGGCTTGGTGAAACATTTCATAAGTCCTCGAGCGAAGCCAGGACGAGTGGGGAGTGACATGGTCTCGCTCAGGAGGCGTTTCCTTTGTGACTGATAAGGGGTAAGAGTGCCATCCCTCCGGGTATCGTTTTCGCGGCGACTGTTTTTCAAGCGAACGAAGGGATTCCGAGCATTCCATCCGACGCGATCTTGACACCCAGCTCAGCCTATCATAATTTTGCTGAATATTTGGGCTCGACATCTTCCACGCAAGTTAGCCAAACTCACGCGGAAACCTCTTTTTCTGCCCGACGACAGTTCGGAGGAAACTATTTACGAACTCCGTAAATAACGTGGGGGAAAGACAGTCCGACATTCGACCTGCAGAGCATCCCGACGTCATGGAGCACATCCAGCAAGCTCCCCATTTCGGGCCGATTGGCAGACATGGATCCGATCTCGGAAATACCGATTAGGTCCGCGGTATGGATCGCAGTCTCAGTCCCAACCGACGTATTCGGGGCTCTGACTGCAGCTTCACATGGTGCCGGGCAGTGGCGTAGCGAGCCGGAGTGCCGCCCGGGGCGGTGATTCGAAATTTCCGCTTTTTCACCGTGCTCGACGAAAATGCCGCCCCCGCCAGATATTTTTTCCTCGGAAACACTCCATTTTTTGGATGCCAAACCCCGGAATACCGCCCCTAAAAGCTCCGCAGGAAGTGCCGCCCCTCCCGCCCCCGCCTCACTACGCTACTGGTGCCGGGTATCGATGCAGAGTGCCGAATATCCTGGCAAGTAAAGTCAAGAATATTCTCACCGCAATACAGAAAAAGCGGAAGGAGAGAACCCGGAGGTGCCGGGACTCTACATCTCTCGGTCTTCGAGCGGATGACATCATGGCGGAAATGAATCAGGAACACTGCGATTACTCCGATGACGGAGTGCACCGGAAACTTCTTTCTGAAATCATTATCCGTAGTCATTCATTCATCACCTGCGCTGTGACCAATTGTATTTAGCGCCGCATGTCCCTTGCGATGCAGGACCATTGCCTGAGGGCCTCCGGAAGACAGGAGCAGACGGCTGCCGGATCGTCGCCGGAGCGTCTGATATTTGGTGCTGGTGGAGGGGTATCTTCCCATGATTTGCGCGAGGACCCTTTCCGAAAATGTCCAGCCCAGACCTGGGAAATGCCGTGTGCAAGACTCGGATCAACTCCCGTCTA